AGCTCATCTTTGGTAGGTCGGATTGCTACAATCAGTCCTGCCAAATGAAGGTACTTGGCCGGATCAACGACATCGGCGACTTCGGAAGATGATCCCGATGTAGACGCGACAGGATCGGTTGGGGGTGTTTGTTCGGCCAAGAACCTCGTGGCTGGCGAGACGGCGTGGTTGTAGGCTATCTCCGCGTGGGCGAGATGGAGATCCCACTGCTGGTCGTCACGAACAATCTTTCGGAGAATATCCCCGAGAGTCCTGTTCGTGATCTCTGTCTGACCATCAGTCTGAGGATGGTAAGATGAGGAGAAGCGGAGCTGAGTGCCGTACACCTCGTGGAGCCGTCGCCAGAATCGGCTGGTAAAGCGAGGGTCACGGTCAGATATGATGCTCAGAGGTAAGCCGTGGTCACGCACGACTCGGTCAAATACGATGTCGGCGACCTCACGTGCACTGATGGCATAGCRRYAYGGAACAAAGCGTGCACGCTTCGTGAAGCGGTCGACGACGACCAGGATAGCATCATGACCGCGGGGCGTCGGAGGTCGAAGAGGACCGATAAAGTCCATCTCGATGGACTGCCAACGACCCTCAGGGATAGGAAGAGGCTGGAGCAAACCATAAGGTAGGTGGTTCGCATTGTTCACTTCCTGACAGGTGGGACACTCTGCGACGTTGTCCTTCACAAAGTCCTTGCGCTTCGGCCAGACGTACAGGCGACTCACCCGAGCCAACGTCTTGTGGAAGCCCATATGACCGGCAGCTGCCTGGTCATGGAACTCTGCTACTGCTCGGACACGTAGCTGTCCAGTGGAGGGAACACAAATACGGGGCTCTCTCGTGCCCTGTGAACCGTGCCAGTACACAAGACCGTTGTCCCCGAGAGAGTAGTTCGAGACGGTCTTGCCACTCCGAAGGGTCGCGTGGATGTCGCGATAGTCGGGGCAGTGGCGGTACTGAGKGCGAAACTCGTCGATCACCAAGTGGTGGACGGTGCTGACCGAGATGGAAGAGAGCTGGATGTGCTCTTAGTCGTGGTGTTCTTGAAATTCCGTAATTTGTTTAATCTAGAAATGCATGGGAATTACGGACGTCTTAGTGAGTGCACTCGGAATTTTGCTTGATAGTTAGGAATTCCGAAATTTTCTGAACATGGCGTGTCCTTTCACGCGCGAATGTTCTCGGCCTCGACATGGAAAACTCTGGGAATTTTGTAGAAATATGGATGGGCGTAGGAATTTCTTTCTTTTCACGCGTCTACTTTTCGTGCGGATATGGTGATTTCAATTTTTGAATTAGCGTAGGGTTGGAAAAAACTGCAACTGTTTCGATGCCCATTCTCCTTTTGTTGTTCGGCACCATGCAAACGAGTTCCCTCCTCCTTTCTTCTCGCGCTCCTCTCAGCGCCCTCCCTCGCGCGCACATGCTTTCTCGCTCCCTTCCCCTTAAACTTTTTTTTTCTCTCCTTCCCCCGCACACGCTCTTTTTTCTCTTTCTTGCTCATCTGAATCTTGGATCCGTTTCACACTATCTTTCACACTCTTCTTCTTCTCGCTCTAAAACCCGTGCTCGAAAACCCGATCGATCCTCTCCTCCCATCTAGCCAAGGAGAAGCGCCGTGTAAGAGGAGATTCCTACTGCGCGACGATTCTGATTGGCTAAGATCGGATTGTGAGGGATCAACATGGCATTCAACATGCGATTACCCTCAAGCCCTCCCTTACCCTCCTCTGCCCTACTCTTCATCCTTCCCCACATCTATCTCCCCTCTCGCAACTATAAATTCCGCCGACGCATCCGCAAAGCTCTCTCTCTCTCAACTCGTCAGCCAACTTCCTGGAAGCGGTGGCTAGATGATGTGCGTGTGGTGCGCGTCGAAAAGTCCCGACGGGTTGACTGTAGACTGGTTGCCTGTGCGCCTAACCGCCACGACGGACTGTGGGATCGGGGCAAGCCTACGCAGAAACTAAGTCGGCGGGGTGACGATCGCAATGGTGGCAGGTGGCACGGGACGACCGGGATCGTCGGTGCATGTATGAGGATAGTGATCAAAGTTGGGTGGATGAATGGCCTGGGGCCATGACGGATCTTTACGGCGAATGCGCCTCCTTGTTTCGAGTTTATTCTTTGGTGTGAGTGTAACTTCACGGCAGTTAAGCCGAGTCTTATAATTCTTTCTTTTCTTCTTTTTCAGACTTTTGTACGATTGTTCTCTATTGAATTCATCTCGCACCTCTCCCCCCCCCACTTTTATCTTATGATGTGAATGACCATGTATGTTTATTGAGGAATGATTGTCTGATGGGCCGCCGGTTTGATTAGTCTCGGGATGACGGGGCACGGGCGCGAAACACACGGAGAACTGAATAATGTGTGGCTGCCATTTTCGCACCTTCCGCGATAAGTCCCCACGAATGAAGATTGTCGTTGATGAACTGATTTTTGATTAGGCCGAAGAGCTGCTGTGAATAAGGATGCATGAGAACGATTGAATTGTTGGCAAGGACAATGTTGTTCGGATTTTGTTCGAGAATGCAAGAGTGTTTAGATTTGTCGACGATGTGATTCGAAATGCCTTGCGCCTAACCTGACAGGCGATCCGTCTTCTTAGAGAGAAGAAGGGCGACACGTACGACCTGCATGCGCGGATCACCGACCGTGTCCCACCTGATGTGCGTACTGACCCCACAATTCCTGTATGAAAATCTGTCGGTGAAACCATAGACCATTGCACTCTATCTCTCTCTCTCTCTCTCTCTCTCTCTCTCTCTCTCTCTCTCTCTCTCTCTCTCTCTCTCTCTCTCAGGAATGCTCCCACTTGGCTTCGCATGTTTCATAAATAAAGGTGATAATCGGAGAAGCCGGATCGATAGACGAGGGATTAAAGTTGAATTGCTGAATACTGATTCTTGCGATTGAGTGGATTGCCATGTGGACTGAAGGCCTCACTCCGACTGGGCGCCGACCTCCCATACTCCCGCCACGTCCCTTCCCGTATAAGGAGAAAAGGACACGTGTATCCGAGTGGGACGTACGAGAAGCCATCATCAACATCGACGACGGATATTTCTTCCCTCCCGAAACTCGATGCTCAGGATTTGTCAGAGCGGGTTTTGTCATTATTGATACGCATTTTCCACCTTATTCGATATTATTACCATTCAACAAATTGATTGTCATTCCGTGGACGGCAGTGGCGCCCCATTGGCCTAACATTCTGTGTATCGACTGTCGTCGCCTCGAGCGTTACCAGTAAAAAGGCTTCCACTACCGTGTGAGGAGTGATGACGAAGACAAGGAACGAGCTACGTGGTTGAGACCCTCCACGTCAGACTCTGAGTTGTGCAATGAGTGTCGTCGGGACTTGATCCGAAAACGAGACACCAGATATGTACCCGCCCCCTTTCACGTGAAGCGAAGGGCAACAACCCGCTGGGAAGTCCAACGATACTTTCTGGATTGAATTTCCCCATGACGAACGTCTCGCGCGCGCCTTTCTCTCCCTTGACATCCGCATAGTGACGGGCCCTCCGAGTCCCCTCTTACCAAGTCGGACCAGCACGGGGGACTTCGGTTATGTCCGTGTCCCCACACTCAATTTTCCAGAAATCCTAAGCACACCCCATCTCGCTATCATTCCAGGGCCCCCTTCCACAACCAAAAACACACCAAGCGGAAGATAACGCAGGGCGTGAGGTTGGTATCGGAGCTGACACGTGTCCGTTCTGATAATAGTAAGACGAGCTGGCGAGAGGAAGATCAGCGAAACAATCTAATCGCCTCAGTCCTCCCGTTACTTGACAGAGGTCTGCCGAGGGTCGAAGAGAGATGCCCATGGCCGATGCTAATGGAACACCTCCCCGGGTGATGGTAAGCATCCCCGCCACCTTTCCATTCTACCCTAACTATACTCATCCGGAGGCATGGCTTGAAGCCGTGCAAGCAGAAGGATATGGCGTCGAGGACCTTCCCTGCTTTATCACCCTGTTACTCCGAAATACTGCACACGATTGGTTCAGAAGGCATAGATGGGTAGATTGGGACACCTTTAAGAGAGCGTTCCTAGCACGATTTGACGTGGTCAGCGAAGACGCTGCATGGTTCGTACTGAAAACCCGTCCTCAGGAACCAAGGGAACTGTTACCCGATTTTGTGGACCGATTTCAGACCGCATTAGACAAATCGGGACGGGAAGAAAATGCAGCTCGAGACCTGTTCATCGACCATCTCCGCAATCTCGTTTTGAAGGCGAAACTGCAGAAAAGGTCCCTCCCAAGACGAACCAACTGTTCGTCATTATAACTAAAGCCCTCGAGCTAGATCTGCTAGACATGCGTAAGTATATCAGTCCACGAGAGGAAGATATTTCGGACACGATCCAAGATGTAGATGCTAAGCGGCGATCGTGGCTCAAAGCGGTGGGACGATTTTACCCTCGTCTCGATCACGACTACCAGAACGGCCCCGCCCTGGATCCCTCCCTGTATTGGTCCCTACCTCTCACGAAACCTCCTCCTCCTCAAAAAATGGCGCCTGTAAATACAGTAATGTCCCAAGACGCCGCATCAGTACCTATCACCAACATGCATCTGACCCATATGATCCATACCGCTACGACTAAACAGTCTGAGTGGATGAATAATCTGCCTCAGATACAGACTTCTCAGATGGATCGGTTGGAACAGATCACAAACTAATGAAAGTTAATCCCAGCCCTTCTCGCCCGACTTCTACTCCGTACCCGTTGCTGACCGCCCCTCCTGCAATTAGACTAGCATCTCCTCCCGCCCCCCCTCATGCAGCCAACTCAACAGGGAGGATCGAATGCTACAACTGTAAACAACCTGGACACTTCGCACGTGAATGCCCTAAGCCAAAACGCAGTCAACCTCCGCCTGCAGCCGCGCCCGTAGCCTTGAATCAGGGCCGGGTAGCCGCAGTACTGGAAGCCACAAGATAAGCTTCCTCCTTACTATTGCGACCTCGGCTATCACTCGCGTGTTCCCGCGGACTTCCTTCGACCGTCCCAGATGCACCCCGATACGAGTTGTCCCGCGCTGGATGATTAGGTTGCACACATGACATCGATTATGAAGACCGCACATGAGCACATAGACGCTTCCCAGACTCGCATGGCAGCACGTGCGAACCAATCGAGGATGGATCACCCATTCAAGGTCGGTGATGATGTGTTTATCGACGCCCGCCACTTACAGCTCGAAGCGGACACGCTTCGCAAGTTTCAGCGTCGCTTCGTTGGCCCATGCCGCATCCTCCAGGCCGTCGGTTCTGATACGACATCTAGCCCGGTCAGCTTTCGTGTGAAGCTGCCCGACTACCTACGCCAGACTCGTGTGCATGATGTCTACCACGTCTCGTTACTGCGGCCTTACCACAGACCGTCTGAGCGTTTCGCTGGACAACCATACGAGCGCCCTCCACCCATCATGGTGGACGGCCACGAGGAGTTCCTCGTTTCAGACATCATTGGTCGCCGAGTCACCGACGACAACCCTCCCCACGTCGAGTATCTCGTACGTTGGAAGGGTTACCCTGATGAGGAGGCTACCTGGGAGCCCCTCGAGCACTTGCAGCACGCTCGCATGTTGGTGCGTGCCTATGACCGTGCTCGTCGTGCTGGGTTCACTGCTCCTCCTCAGCCCACTGACCCTCCTCCTTCTCCTCCGGCTGAGGAGACCGTTGAAGTTGAGCCTGCTCCATCTGAGGCAGACCTTCAGCAGGAGCCGGATGCTTCTGAGCGTCCACAACGCACTCGTCGTCGTCTTGCTCGATACAACGATTGACTCTGACTTACCTTCCCACGTCTTTGACTTCTCAGTACTCCATCCACATCAGTTTTGCTACTTCATCTCGTCGACGCTGCGGCTCTTCCTCGACGGCATTCCGGACTTCTCATCGTAGACGTCATCGGCGGCTTCATGGACTTCATCACGATCAGCTCTGCCTACTTCAGACGTCGCCACTCTCTTACCACTCTACCCTATACAGTACCCTGCTTGTGTCGCATGATGGTCTCCCTTTAGCCGGGTTCCTCTGAGTTGGGCTCTCCCTTGGTATACGCATAGGCATCGGGACCGTAGCGTTGCCCTGGCTTCCCATCTTACGGATCTAGCTCCGACTTCCCTCACTTTAGGAGTCATTTGCATGATTCCCTTACCCATCATCTTTCTACCCTCTGCCGGCCCTCACGCCCTAGTTAGGAAGCCCCGCATGCTTCATCTAGGTGCGTCCAGTATACCAGGCTCCCTTGTTCCCTTGCATGGTCGACCCTCCATAGCGGTCACCCCTTAGCCGAGCATTACCCGCCCTGATGGTCTAGTTGTTAGGGTCATTGGTTCTGTTCGCTCCCAGTTYCCTACCCTCATTGAGCCTGATGACATGTGTTTTCCSCTGTCACTATGTGTGGATGCCCTTAGGAGTTTTCGACCCCTAGGCTGCATTCGCCACCCTCAGAGACCATCCCACCCTTTGGTGTGCGACRCACTTCTCATGTGACATATGGTTGTCTTGTTGATTGCTTTGTTGCTCTCAGACTGAGGCTACTGCCTCCGACATTCTAGGATTTAGTTGCTTTGCTTTTGCTGTTCTTAGGACTTATACACTAGTCAGTTGTTACCAGACTGAGGCTAGTGCCTCCAACATTCTAGGATCTAGTTGTCACTACTTTTTGCTTTCCTAGGACATGTCTGTTAGTTAGTTGCTCCTACTTTCACTTAGGCTATTAGCTGTGACATTGCTGTTTTGTGACATTTTATATCCTAGGTTGCATCGCATGGACGCAGCATGGAGCTTGCTCCGCATCCTAGACTACTCAGGTTTTCTTTTCTTTGGTAGAGTTCCGCTTCTTGGCGGAAGCATGTTTGTATCTAGGCGATCCATCACAGGCCGAGGATCGTGTAGCGGACCTCGGGATGGCCTGTGAGACCAGCTCCTTGGCCTGTTCTCACAGGCCTGTGTTATATTTGGGGTAGGCCAGTCCAGGCCGGTACCTCTGTCGGTACCAGCCAGTCCAGTCCAGTCCCGTCAGTCCGYTGGGGTATACCCCAGCCATTGTCTGTTTTCAGGCTCATTCCTCACTTGCACATTTTGGAGTCTTGCGTGGGGAGCTGCGTTGTGCCATCTCGCTCCCCCTTCTTCCTCCATCTCCATCTCCGTCACTAGCGGAGCACCACACCTGGTGGGTCCGCTACAATGCTGCTTTTCTGTAACCCAGGTTGGTCTGGCTCTGAACTCATTTCTGGTGCGGTACCGGGCTGAATTGTGAGGAGCCCGGCCTTTTTCCAATAGGTTTTTGGGTGGGCGCGGTCAACCTTATCCCTTTGGGGCACATGGGCTGGGTAAAAGGAGAGTTCTTCGAATCGTCGTAGGTGTGGTTATGCAGGTGGCGTCCACTCCTTTTTTTTTTTTCCTCTCCCTGGAATGATTCTCCATATAGCGTACGCAAGGAGGCGGGAAAGCCAGTGACATCAAAAATAGATTACAGCAAGCCGCAGGAACGTCCTCCTGGATTGGAGGAGGGGGGGGAGGACTCGGCCAAGCGTTCGATCGTTGGGATCATCGATCGACAGACAGGTGGGGAGAAAGAGGAGGGAAGGAAGACGATAGACGAAAGTGAAAGAGGGGGAGGAGAAGGCCAGAGCCAGGAGAGGAGAAAGAGGAAGAGAGGGGAGGAAACCGTAAGAAGAGGAGAGAGCAGGCGGGAAGGAGAGGAGAGGTGAGGAGAAGAAGAGATTGGGAGAGAAGGGTAGAGAAGACATGGATGGCTAAAGGTGCACGAAGAAGATAAGAGAGAAAACCAAGCGGAGAAGAGGAGGAACAGGAGGGGAAGATTGTGGGTTGTGGTTTCACACGCTCTGTTCGTGCATGTGTCAATTTCGACAAAGTGCACTCGCGTGCTGGGTTGGCACCACTCGGCTGACGTGGACACAATCTCGCCGATGTGGAATTCTGTCGTGATTGACGAAAGCGAGTGTTTGCCAGCTGTGCATGTTCCCCGACGTGGAAGATTGAGGTATTCGGTCCCTATAGAGAGTTTAAGCTACCGGTAGTCAATCATATTAGGAGGTCGGGAATGTACATTACCTTAGCAGCAGCGACGAAGCAAGCTGCTGGACAGGTGGTGGATTCATCTAACATATACTAGCTCTAAGCACATACTTCCCGAGAAACTCACCTCTGTGTGTTCGGTCCACCGATTTCCAAGAGTATTTACCGCCGCTCACAAGATATTTACCGTGCGCATACTTCGTACTAGGGAGAAGTTTACGGAACGGACGTATCTTCATTCGATCAGGCCAAGGGCGATTGTTTCGGGCCAAGCACGGAAGCAGAAAACTGAAGCATTGTCAAAGCACGTGTGTGTGTCTGTGTCTGTGTGCGTGTGAGTGCGCGTGTGCGTGTATGCGCGTGTGCGTGTATGCGTGTATGCGTGTATGCGTGTGTGTGTGTGTGTGTGTGTGTGTGTGTGTGTGTGTGTGCGTGTGTGTGTGTGTGTGCAGGTGTGCGTGTGTGCGTGTGTGCGTATGTGTGTTGTCATGTTCAGTCTGTTCCGAGGATGCATATGACTGACGTATAAGGACTCTCCATACCTCGGATAAGGACTCGCCATACCTCTGAGAAAGTGGTCGACTTTACTAACACGCCATCTTAGCAGACTGTCCGTCCAAATTATTGACAAGGATGGCAGTAGGTCCGAGGAATTCGTCCGTCACGAACTCGCGGCTATAAAACCCACACTAACCGCCCAGTCAGCCATGGATACCCACTTACATGACCGCTAGTACTGTCCTGACCCCAGCTCTGTGTGCGTGCGTGTGTGTGTGTGTGTG